AAAGAGAGAGAGTGAGAAATAGAAAGAGAGAGGAAAAAAATTTACACAAGCATACACAATCACATAGACATACAAGCATATTCACACATGTATAAATAATAGAGAGATAGTGAGAGATGAAAGTGAAAGTTAGAGACAGTGCAAAATTGGAGAAGGTTGAAATATTTTAGACTATAAAAACCTTGTAAAGACATAGCAATATTGTAGAGGAATAATTTATGAACGTGTAGCTGAATAAAAAAAGATCTATATTAACAACAACAATAATAATAAATAATTATATTACTTATATTTATTATTATTATTATTATTATTATATAGTTGTTTAGTATTATTATTTCTTTATTAATACTATTAATTTCATCTTTGTAACATGACATTTTTGTAAATGTTTATTTACTGTATGTTGTTTAGTATTTTTTTCTGTAAATAATAACATTACTACTACTACTACCACCACCACCACTAATACTACTAATACTACTACTGCTGCTGCTGCTGCTACAACAACAACAACAACAACAACTACTACTGTTGTTTCTGTTACTTAGATGGGATTGTTGGTTTGTTGAATGGTAGGTAGGTACATAACTCATTTCTTTTCGTTGTTGTTGTTGTTGTTGTTGTTTTTATTGTTATTAATGTTTTAATTGTTTTTGTTGATGTTGTCTTTCACTTGTCATACATTCTCTCTCTCTCGATGAAAGCAATTTGTTAAAATAAAATTTTCCAATAAGATAATAACACTAATATAAATTAATCAAATCACAATAAAGTTTATAAATAAACAAATGAAAAAAATCAAACTCCATCAAAAATATTTTCAAAGTCAAGATCCGACCTCTTGTGTACAGAGCACAGCTCAACAAAGGTCAACTCAACCCACATAAACGCTTACAGTGCTCTTGATCGCTTCTACGAATGGATCAAAAACCACACAGTTTTGGAGGATTTCGCACATCTCTTGCCAAGATTTGATTCTGCAGCCCTAGTCACTGAGTAAGTTCTTGCCTATTTTGTTCGGTTACCAGCAAACATCCAAGCTAGAGTCAGAGTCCGGGTTCCATCCCTTCAAAAATATCCGACTTTGACTCAAAACTCCAACCTCAGACGTTCTGGCTGTAGAGATGTTTGTTCTATTCAGTTTGAATTTTGTAGTTTTTTGATTGCTTTGTTATTACAAAATGGGATTTTGATTGGTTTGTTTGTTTGAATTTGTTTTTGTGTGTGTTTCTAAATGTGTTTTTAGTTTTTTGTTGCTGTGCGGATGTTGAGAGGATTTATTTTACTCTTTCGTTAGTGATTTGACTGGTTTGGTTCGAACGAATCTCGTGTCTTTTCAAAACATTTCGTTGTTAATTATTATCAATGAATCACTCATTTAAAATAATTTCTTCGTTAAATCTTGTTAAAACTTATAAACTTATAAAAAACCCTTTCTTTAACTAATCATCAGCATTAGGCTACTAAAAAATAACACGTACACACACACACCACACACACACATACGCACACAAACACACACACACACACTCAAACAAACAAACACACAAGCATATATATATTTTATGGGGAAATTCTTAAATGTCTTACTTTGCATACAAAGTCGTTTCAAACATATCGCATTTCGTCATTAAGAAAGATCGTTAATGTTTTAGAAATAATTTATTATTATTATTATTGTTGTTGTTATTATTGTTATTATTATTTTTAACGTCATTGTAGTAAATCATCTTAATGTACATGTATTTTTTTTAACAATCTTCAAGTTGACTGGCTGGATAGATGAATGAATGAGTGAATGAATGAGTGAATGAATGAGTGAATGAATGAATGAATGAATGAATAAATGAATGGGTAAATGAATGAATGAATGAATTAACGAGCAGTTAAATATATTAAATTAATGCTTGAATGAATGATTTCATTTATTAATTCTTAAATGATCGAAAGTATGAAGAAACGAGTTAACGAACGAACGGACTATCTCATCTTCATCCTCTACCTCGTCTTCATCATCATCACCATCATCAAATTATCATCGCCATCATCAAACCATCATCATTATCATCATTCTTATCATCGTCATAATTAAACCATCATCATCATCACCATCATCAAATCATTGTCATTATCACCATCACAACCATCATCACTACCATCACCAGTTACAACTTACTATCGTCTGATTCGACTCGAGCGATCGGTGGCTTGGCAGACATAGCGGCTGCTTGCCGGATCAACTCAGTGTCCATCAACAAGGACTCTGGTCAGTACGGGACTATAGATACCATTTCTCACGAGTTGGGACACAAGTTAGTAGTTCATTGATTGGCTGGCTGGTTGGTTGATTGGTTGATTGGCTGGCTGGCTGGTTGGTTGGTTGATTGGTTGGTTGATTGGTTGGTTGATTGGTTGGTTGATTGATTGGTTGGTTGATTGGTTGGTTGATTGGTTGGTTGGTTGGTTGGTTGGTTGATTGGTTGGTTGGTTGGTTGGTTGGTTTGGTTGATTGATTGGTGGTTGGCTGGCTGGTTGATTGATTAATTTGTTGGTTGGCTGACTGGCTGACTGGCTGACTGGTTGATTGGTTGGTTATTTGTTCGGTTTAATAGTAATAATGATAGCAATAACAATTATAGTATTTTAAGTTGTATGTATATATATATATATATATATATACGTGTGTGTGTGTGTGTGTGTGTGTGTGTGTGTGTGTGTGTGTAGATAGATGAATGTCGAATCCCGCCAAAAGTTTAGGAGCCTATCACGATGGTGACAACAACGATTGCCTATCAACTGATCAATTCCTAATGGCTATGGCGCCGAATTCAGTGGCAGACGAGTTGTTTAACAACTCCTACAAAATGTCAGAGTGTAGTGTGGCTTCTATCCATAGATATATCAGTAACTTGAACTAGTAAGTAGTTCTTTGTCGATGTTTGTCGCGGTATTTTGGCTGCAATATGCCGACATTTTTCATTTCAGCTGTCTGTGGTGTATTTCTATTGTTTGGTGTTATTATTGTAGATAGGCACTTGTATTTTGAGATGTGTATCTGGTGTAATGAAATAAATTACTATTAAAAATATTATAAAAAATACATAAATGAAATCATTAGGAGTAATAGCAAAATTAATAGTAATAAATGATTGTAGTAATGTCAGTTTTAACAATAATAATAATAAACCAAAGATAATTAAAAATTTTTTTTATTCTTTGCCCCAAAGTAACCAAAGAAACTGTTTACTAGACGGCCAATCGGAAGCGCGGGAAAAGGACGATGACGATGACAGCAAAGAACAAAAAACAACAAATAAACATAAAAACACGTACAAAGACAACGTAATTAGGTACAACATCACGAAGAAATATGCGCTAGATAATGCAACCTTGGCGCCGGGTCAAAGGTTCAGTCTGGACGACCAGTGCAAACAAATTTATGGCCGAGACTCGTACCATTGTAAGGTGAATAATACAAAAAATAAAAAATAATAAAAACAACAATAATAACAACAACAACAACAACAATAATAATAATAATTTAAAACTTTTATTATCAATAAACCAATAGGGGAGTTGAAATAAAAATGAAATAGAATTTCATTGTACAGTATAATAGAACCATAGATGCTCATTATCTAGGATAAGATAAAATAATTAATAATAATAATACTACTACTACTAGTACTACTACTACTACTACTAATAATAATAATAACAGTGATTATACAGTAACATTAGCAGCAGCAGTAGTAGAAGCTCTAGCAGCAAGTAGTAACAGCAGAAATGTTATTTCACTCTCCGCGCTTAAGCTTTCTTACATTTACATTCCTCATTTTATAATATTGTCTCCCATATTTTAAAGAATAATAATAACACTGTGTAGCAGCAGCAACTGCTGCTACAGAAGCAGCAAAAGCAGCTTCTATAGCAGCAGTAGTGGTAGAAGCAGCTGCTCTAGCAGCAGTAGCGGTAGAATCAGCTTCTGTAGCAGCAGTAGTAGTAGAAGCAGCTGCTCTAGCAGCAGTAGCGGTAGAATCAGCTTCTGTAGCAGCAGTAGTGGTAGAGGCAGCTGCTCTAGCAGCAGTAGCGATAGAAGCAGCTTTTGTAGCAGCAGTAGTGGTAGAAGCAGCTGCTCTAGCAGCAGTAGCAGTAGAATCAGCTTCTGTAGCAGCAGTAGTGGTAAAAGCAGATGCTCTAGCAGCAATAACGGTAGAAGCAGCTTTTATAGCTGCAGTAGTGGTAGAAGTAGCTGCTGTAGCAGCAATAAAAGTAACAGCAGAACCAGCACTAGTAGTAGCAGTAGTAAGGACAATACTAAACAAAAACAATGTTGATGTTGAAAGCAACAACAAAAATTGTATTAACAATTTTTTCCTCAGGGCGGTGGACTGATGGTGACTGAAGTCTGTAAGAAAATGCTCTGCTACAAACCGGAAACGCGAGAATGCTTCAGTGACGTCAAAACTAGAGCCGCCGAGGGCACTTCCTGTCGTTAGAGATCTTTATCATTATCAATTATAGTCATAATTACTTTAATTATAATTATCTTTTTAATCAGTCGAAATTTTCTAATCTTTGCAAGGGAAAATGTTTAATGAAATGTTTATTGGATACATAATAGTTTTAAAATTTAAGTATAATTATTATTATTTTCATTATTATTATTATTATTTTCATTATTATTATTATATTCATTATTATTATTATTTTCATTCTTATTATTATTTTTATTATTATTATTAATTATATTTTTGAATAAAATGTCTGTCAGGAAACAAGTCCTGGTGCAAAAGAAGCTACTGTCTGAAGGACTCGAACGCTCCTGAATTTAACAGTGAGCTGGCTGTGACGTAATTGTGACGACGAAATCATGACGTCATCATCACTATGATAATCTTACGACGTCATCATCACATGACGACAGAATCATGACGTCATCATCACTATGCTAATCTTCTTTTCACATATACGCCGACTTCAAAACCGCCATAACCACACACCTACCGCACAAAACGACAGCGTCATAGCGTATTAACATTAATTAAATATTTATTTCTACGTATAATTAATTAACACGAATCCATTATGACGTCATCATCGAAATTGTAATAACCACCGCTTCCGTGCAGCCGACTGCCCGTACGGCGACTACAAGGGCGTCATTAACACTTACGAGCCGGACAGAACGATCACTTGTAGACAGATTAGTAGGAGTAACGCCTACTACTGCTACGAAGATTACTACAAAGACAGATGCTGTGAAACCTGTAAGAAACTGGCAGACAACTCTCTCCCCGGTAGGTTGTTGTTTGTTTGTTGTCTTCGTTGTTGTCATTATTCCATTTGTTATTACTATCCTTTTTGTCATAGTTTATACTTTGTTTGTTTTGTCTTGAAAAAGCGACGCTGAGTTTTCAACTAAGATTTTCGTTCAAACATCTACTTCAACTACAACATCAACAACAACAACGACAACAATAATAGTTATAACAACTACAATAGCAAAAATAGTTAAATTTTGAATAAAAAAAACATATTCACCTCATGACTACATCACAATTGCGTCATAACTACGTCACAAATACGTCCCGATTACGTCCCGATCACGTCATAATTACGTCACAATTAATTCACAATTGCGTCACAATTACGTCACAATTACGTCATATCTACGTCATAACTACGTCATAATTACGTCTTAGGCTGTGAGTTCGGCGATAAAGACGTTAGCAGATGTTCAAAAATCAAGCCGAGTGAGTGCTACGATGAGAATATGCACAAGGAATGCTGCCACACCTGCCCGAAGAAAACCATAAAAACCGACAATCCAGACTGTCTGTTAGTTTATTTTTATATTTTAATTATTTATAATTATCAATTATAGCTATTTGATTATAGTTAATAATTTAATTAATATAAGTAGTTTAATTAATTTTCATTTAAAAAGTATTTTTATTTCTTTCTCGCGCCTCATCCTTTCAGAACATTGGCGACCATCGACCTCCACAAAAGATCTTTAAGACTTTGTAAGAATTGAAATATAGTGATATTCAGCCAGTGACACAAGGACTTCACGAATGTTATTCGTTGTTGTTGCTGACCGCGATCTCTTTTCCCTGCAATCTTTCCAGTAGTTGTTAGATTTTCCATTCTTTCCTTCCGCATGATGTGACCAAAAAAACTTTAACTGCCCCCGTCGGATCGTCTGCAGTAATTTCCTCTTTTCATAACCGGACTGTTTTAATACATCCTCATTCGAAGTATGAGAGGTCCAACTAATTTTCATAATTCTCTTCTTAAAAACCACATCTCAGCAGCGTTAATCTTTTTTCCCCATTTCTTTAGAAATTGTTCAAAACTCAGAGCCGTAAGTTAGCACAGGAAAAATGTAACGGTAATTAATTTTGCCACGAAACTATAAAAAACAAAATTTTTGGCTTTTAAAATTAAAGTTTATTTAAAAGTTGAAATCAATATGGAAATATATATAGTTTGAAATTATCATGATAATTATTGAATTATTACTGATCATAATTTATTTAAGGTACGGTGACAAGGCTGAATGGTGCGATCGAGTCACCAAAAACATGCCTTACCATTGCTACAACGACCTTGGAATCTGCTGTCACAGCTGTCCGAAACTTAGTATTGGAGTTTTGGGTCAGTTGAATTTGTTTCTTTGCGGTTCTATGGTGTAATGGTTAAGGTGTCTGGCTCTGTTGTTACAGGTGCCGGGTGCGAATGTGAAAGAGTCCGGGCTATTGTGTGCGTTCGTATGCACTGTGTGCTTGTTGTTGATACTTTAAAAAAAAATAATAAAAATTGAATTATACGAAAGATTATTTGCAAGCTCTGAGTATTTGGAAGCTCTTATGAGAATGTTATGTTTAATTTAAAGTTCTGTTGTAAAGATTTCATTCGACGCTGTAAAAGTACTACTGACAGTGCGACTATTGTTGCTATGAACCTTGACTCATAACCACGGCCATTACTAATTATTCAAGTCCAAAAAACAACAATCTCCAAGAAAAAATACTTTCACTCTTAAAAGGTTGCGAATATGGCGACAAAGGAACTGGTTGCTCTGCGCTGAACTGTATCGAGCGTAACTACTGGAGCTACTGCTGCAAGACCTGCCAGGGCGACATCTTAAACGCCAACTACCAACTGAACTTCACTACCACTACTACCAAAATCCCGACGACCTTGAAGACAACGATTGACCTTAAGAATGAGGATTTGCCAGAAAGGGTTAGGCCGTTTGGGTTTTAAGGGTTTTTTTTAGATTTTTATTGTTTTGTTGTTTTTCAATCGGTTTGTTTTGGTTTTTGGCTCTGTTTTGTTATTTTTTGTATGCTTTTGTATGTTTTTATGTTTTTTTGTATATTCGTTCGGTTGCCTGTGGACAATTTTTTGTTTGAAAGTTTTGAATTTGTTTAACACTTTGCAAAATGTTATTGGTCTGCTGAAAGCAAGTGCACGTTTTTCTACTATTTTCAAAAATTAACTTTTAAATTTCAAACAATCGTGAATTTAATTTTATCATTCAACCAACTGATCAAACAACCAACCAACTGACCAACCAACTGACCGACCGACCGACCGACCGACCGACCGACCGACCGACCGACCGACCGACCGACCGACCGACCGACCAACCAACCAACCAACCAACCAACCGACCAACCGACCAACCAACCAACCAATTAATCAGTGTGAGAAGGATCGTGCCTCGTGGTGCAGACGAATCCATCCGGCCGAATGCTACAGAAGTAACAACACCTGCTGTTACACCTGTTATGATTATTACGAACCGGAGAACAAAGGTTAGAGTTCAAAAGTTAAACTTTCCAAAGTTGAATAAAATAGGTCATTTTTGATATAACTAGGTTGAAATAAAATAAGATTTTTGAATTTAGGTTGTGGGGCTAGCGTTTAAGGGATTGGATTATTGTTTTTAATAATTGTGATTAATTTTTTTTTATTTCTCATTGTAATTTTAGTCTACATCATCATCATCATCGTCACCATCACCATATCATCATCATCGTCACCACCATAATCATCGTCACCATAATCCTCATCATCATCATCATCGTCACCACCATCATCACCATCAGGTTGTGAGTATGGGGACAAAAATAAAATGTGCAGTCTGGAACAATGCAGGAGAGGTTGGTGATTGTTGAGTCAGACGGATACTGAAATTGTTCACTGAAACCCTTTTTTTCTTATTAGTTAGCTTTATGTGTTCACAGTTTACTGTGGACTCTATTCAAATGATTCGTTTCAAGTTTTTATATAACTTCGCGGGCTTAACTCGAGAGACTGGTTTCAAGTTTCATTAAAAAATTTGATTCAAAAAGTCACAACAACAAACCATTTAGAAGCATTTTTAAGCATATGCTTAAATTTTTTATCAAATATGATACATGATTGAATAGATCATATTTCTGATACATCCTGTAAGCAAATCTCAAACGAGAGAAAAATTTTTTTCTAGCAAAATTTTATTATTTTTATTTTTATCCTTATTCTTATTCGTTATTCATCTTTAGGTCAATATTACTTGGACCAATGTTGCGACACATGTGAAGACTACCTGACGACAACCGTAAAATCGCAGCCAACACAAACAACAACCACACAAAAAGCTACCACAACTACCGCCACTACCACTACTAAAACTACCGCTACCACTACTACCACTGCTACCACTACTACTACTACTACAACCGCTACTACTACTACTACTACTACAACCGTGCACCCGAAATGCCCAAGAGGGGATTTGCTGTCTTGGTGTAGTAGGATTAAACCCCAAGAATGTTACAGGTCGGAGTCAAATTGTTGCTACAAATGTTTAAATTTTTCCATCGAAGTTGAGGAAAAATACGGCGCTATGCCTGGTTAGGAGTTTGTGTGTGTTTGTTTGTATGTGTGTGTGTTTGTTTGTTTGTATGTATGTATGTGCGCGTGTTTATGTGTGTGTGTATTTTTGTTTGTATATGTGTCTGTGTTTGTGTATGTTTGTTTGTATCAAATCACTTTTATTCAATCAAACAAAAGAAAAAGCATGAATGATTCGGAGACCAAAAAAAGAAAATTAATTCTTGTGGGCTCGGCCACCATGATATGTGTGTGTGTGAGTGTGTGTATGTGTGTCTGTGTGTGTGTGTGTGAGCAGGTTATCTCATTTTTCTCAGATGATTTTTACGGGTTTGACTTGATTTAGCTAATAAAACAAATGTGTGTCTACGTGTATTTCTGTATGTGAGTTTATGTGAGTGTGTGTATGTACGCGTATGTATGTGTGCGTGAGTGTGTGTGTAACAATTTTTCAAGATGAACAGCCAATTCATAAAAGTTTAAAAAACAGATGAAAATTAATATTGCCAACCATCCTAGAATGCAAGTACGGCAACAGGCGAATCGACTGCGACCGATACTACTGCTACGACAAAAATTACGCCAAATCATGCTGCATAACTTGCAGTGCCGAACTTACCACCACTATCAGCACCACTACCACCACCACCACCACTACTTCTACTCCTTCCACTACTACTACTACTACTACTGCTGCTGAAGAAACTTATGGAGTATTTATTGGAAAACTTGGTGAGAATTTGTAGTGTTTGTTTCATTTTTGTTATCCATTGTGAAGATTCACAATATAAAAATTTAATTCATTTTATTAACCATTCATTCTTTCATTCACTTATTCATTCACTTATTCATTCACTCATTCATTCATTCATTCATCCATTTTTTCCATCCATCTCACTACTGACAAAAAACCAAAACAACTGATAAACAATAGTGTCGATAAAATCTCTCTCTCTTCAACAGTGGCTGTATCGGCGCCTGCTTCTAAAACATCACCACTATTACCAGCAACCACAACAACCACAACTACAACAACCACAACTACAACAACCACAACTACAACCACAACAACATCTTCGCCAAAACTGGACGTCAACTGCCCTAATGGTGACCGGGCAGACTGGTGCCGGACAATAAAGGCGAGTACATGCTACAGGTAGGTCTGCGTGTTGTTTGAATATTGGTATAATAATAATTATATTATTATATTAATATTACGATATATTATATTATATTATATAATTTCAGATATATTATTTATATAATTATATAAACTATTTTTGTGATTATTTATATTTATTATGATTTGTCATGCTGCTAACAAGAAGTAGTCTATCAGCATTGACCCGGTTAAGTCATTAATCAGTTAACTAATGCCGGTTTTAAAATCCTTTGTCAATAGCAATAGTTTTTGAAAGTTTACCGGCGCGACCACAATCGATACTTTTGTATTTTTCAAAATGAAATTTGATACAATCTTTGAGCACACTGGCGATTATTGAGTCTACTATCGTAACAAATTTTCAGGACTAATGTCACTTGCTGTTTAACTTGCCAAAAATTCTTCGACTCTAGTAACATTGGTTGGTCTTTCGTTTTTCTAAACCTGAGTGTTTATGTGTTTCTGTTGCACTTCTAGTCGTTTTACATTCATTCATTCATTCATTCATTCATTCATTCATTCATATTCATTCATTCATTCATTCATTCATTCATTCATTCATTCATTCATTCATTCATTCATTCATTCATTCATTCATTCATTCATTCATTCATTCATTCATTCATTCATTCATTCATTCATTCATTCATTCATTCATTCATTCATTCATTCATTCATTCATTCATTCATTCATTCATTCATTCATTCATTCATTCATTCATTCATTCATTCATTCATTCATTCATTCATTCATTCATTCATTCATTCATTCATTCATTCATTCATTCATTCATTCATTCATTCATTCATTCATTCATTCATTCATTCATTCATTCATTCATTCATTCATTCATTCATTCATTCATTCATTCATTCATTCATTCATTCATTCATTCATTCATTCATTCATTCATTCATTCATTCATTCATTCATTCATTCATTCATTCATTCATTCATTCATTCATTCACCACCTCCCACACAAAGGTTGCGAGTACGGGGATAAAGCATCATGGTGCCCTGATCAGGTGCGGAAAAATTCCAAAGACTGCCTCAAGGTTTCCTCTTCCGTCGGTACGGAGTGCTGTCAATCCTGCAAAGCCATCAAACAAGAAAACGGAAACGGAAATGGAAACGGAAATGGACATAATACGGGTACCGGAAATGGATACAGTGAAGAAAATGGCGGATACAATAACAACGGAAGTGGGAACGGTCACGAATCATTACCATCATCATCATCATCATCATCATCGTCATTATCATCGAATTTGATTTCTTGCTCTAGAGAGGATAGAGCAAAGCATTGTGTGGATGTGAAGGCACATGATTGTTACGCATACAATGAAACCTGCTGTAATGCTTGCAATCGACATTACAATTACAAATTTCCTGGTTGGTTGGTTGGTCGGTCGGTTTGTTGGTTGACTGGTTGGTTGGCTGGTTGGTTAGCTGGTTAGTTGGTTGGTTGGTCGAATGGTTGGCTGGTTGGTTGGTTGGTCGGTGTGTCGGTTGGTTGGTTGATTGGTTGGTTGGTTTGTGGTTTAATTAATTAGTCGATTAGTTAATTGGTTGAATGAATAAATGAATGAATGAATGGTTAATTGATTGACCGACTGACTGATTTTTTACTATTGATTAGTGTATTGAGAGTAGTTGATTGATTGAATGATTGATTGATTAATTAATTATTTAATTGATTGGTTGACAACAACAACAACATTAACAACAACAACATCATCAACAACAACAACATTAACAACAACAACATCATCAACAACAACAACAATATCAACAACAACATCATCATCATCAACAACAACATCAACAACAACAACAACATCATCAACAACAACAACATCATCATCAACAACATCATCAACAACAACATCAACAACAACATCAACAACACAACAACATCAACAACAACAACAACAAAGGTTGCGAATACGGTGATCGAGTGAACTGGTGTCAGTCGAAAATGAAAACTGAAGAGCATTGTACAAGCCGGAGAGATATGGCCGACCTTTGCTGCTGGACATGCTTCTTGCTCTCTAAAGAAGGAAAAGGTCTTTCTCCATCTTTCTATCTTTTTTTTCATTCCTACGATCGTCTTCTTGTTCTCACTTCTTCTTAACTCGTGTTAAGCACTCTTTGGCTAAATCTGTTTTTGCTTTTTCTGGCCCTTTTCTCTGAAACTCTCTACCTACTTCTCTGACTACTTTTCTATCACTTGCGAAGTTCAGAGCGGATCTCAAGATCCATCTGTTTGCAAAATTTATTAAGGGGCGAGGATTGATTGATTCTTTCGTTCGTTTGTTTTCTCGTTTGATTGTTTGTTATGCATTCATTTATCTACCCATCCATCTATCCATTCATTCATTCATTCATTCATTCATTCATTCATTCATTCATTCATTCATTCATTCATTCATTCATTCATTCATTCATTCATTCATTCATTCATTCATTCATTCATTCATTCATTCATTCATTCATTCATTCATTCATTCATTCATTCATTCATTCATTCATTCATTCATTCATTCATTCATTCATTCATTCATTCATTCATTCATTCATTCATTCATTCATTCATTCATTCATTCATTCATTCATTCATTCATTCATTCATTCATTCATTCATTCATTCATTCATTCATTCATTCATTCATTCATTCATTCATTCATTCATTCATTCATTCATTCATTCATTCATTCATTCATTCATTCATTCATTCATTCATTCATTCATCCCACCCCAGCATACACACACAGCAAGTGTTTGGATGAAGCGAGTTGGTGTGAGAAATTGAAAGCACACGAATGCTACAACGAAAATACTGAGAGGACCTGCTGTTCCAAGTGCTTCGAATTGAGGCAGGGGAAATCTGGAAGTTGGTGATGTCTATCTATATATAAATATTTTGGGGTATATTTTGGGTATAATTTTGGTAAATTTTGTGCAAACACACACGCAGACGCACACGCACACACACAAACACACACACACGCACACACACACACACCCTATTTTCTACAGAATGCCGTTACGGTGATCATGTGTCATGGTGTGTTGCACCGACTGACTGCTGGGAGCATTACAAAAAGTGCTGTAAGACGTGCGAAGCTGACGATGATGACGAATAGATGATGAGGATGATTATAATGATGATGATGATGAGAATGAAGACGATGATGACGATGAAGATGATGACGACGACGACGATGATTGCAGTGATTAGGTGATGATGATGAGGACTGTATTAGTGTGAATGATTAGGAGTCTAATCATTAGACGACGATGATGATAATGGTGATGCTTTTGTTTATGATGCTTATATGATGAAGACCTTGACAACGATGTGGTTGAAGTTGTTGATGATGATAATGATGATGATGGTGATGATGATAATGATGATGATGGTGAATAGATTGTGATAACGATGATGATTAATAAGTGATGATGACGATTTTTATTATATCAGAGATAACTTATGAGATTTTTTTTTTCAAACCTAGGATATTGATGTTATTAAGAACAATTGACAAACACAACAAAAACACAAATATAATAATAATAATTATATCATAATATAATTATTAATATTATTATTATACAATTATTATTATTATTGTTTGTTTTTTTAATTAAAAATGCACACGTATATAAATAGCATAATTCTCTTTCAAAATAAATGAATGAATGAATGAACGAACAAACAAATGAATGAACGAACGAACGAATGAATGAACGAATGAATGAACGAATGAATGAATGAATGAACGAACGAACAAACGAACGAACGAACGAATGAACGAATGAATGAACGAATGAATGAATGAAGGAAGGAATGGATGAATATGTAAATAAGAACGCTACAATGTTTTTTGTTTGTAAACTTTTTAGTGAAGCAATTTTAGCTGTTTGTAATTTCTTATATACATTTTGATAGATTGTTCGAGAAACATTGTTTAAATATAGTAAAATATATTATAATTTTTATTATTTTATTATATTATTTATTATTATTATTATTATTGTCCTCCAGAATTTTTCAACCTTTAACTGTTGGCGACTAGTTTCGATTCAAAACGGGAGTTTATTGATAGCTGGGGTTGAAAAAAAAATTAGAATGAATAAATAAATAAAATTTAATTATAAATAATAATAATAACTATTAATACTAATAATAATATACTAATACTACTAATAAATAATAATAATAATAATCAATAACAATACTATTATTGACTTTCCAAAACAAAGTCCGTACCTCACTCACTGAACTATCACAAGCGTCTCAACTATTGCTAATTGTAACCAATTACAATCAATTATAACTAATTGATTGTATTATAATTAGTTGTAACTAATTACAACTAGATATAATTAGTTATAATTACTTATTTACATACCCGCCATATTTGAAACAACTGAGAGGGCAGTCTTCTTTCAGCTGGTCCTTGCATGCACTCTTTTGCCCCCTGACCAAGTCGTCGCAATTGCTGAATCTGTCTGCATGTCCACCTATATTTTTTTCGTGAAAGTAGATCATTCTATTGTTATTTTTGGTAAAATTATTTTTGGTAAAATTAGGCGTGTTCCTCTTTCAAATTATGGCGTAGAGCCCTGGTATGAATGCAAGCTCTGCCGGAAGCAACTCATCATCACCTAGGACTTTATTTCAAATCATGGAAGGAGCGGAATGATAAATTTGAGAAATCAATTAAATCCAATTTGCATGTAAATTAGTGAAAATTGAATTAAGAATTAAACGTTTTATTGAAAAATAAATGAAATAAATATGCAACCTTTCGTGAAAAGGTTGTTCTCGCTGTATACGCAGTTGCCTCTATCGCACCTAACTCGGTTTCCGCAATACTTCGCGTCAGATTTGCCGGATTTCAAGCATTTGTTTACCTCCCTGTGTAGTTTTTCGTCACATTTTTTTTTCAAAATATACAACAACAATGAAATGCAATGATAACGTCAATAATATATAAGTTAAATTTATGAATTCGTCATCGTTGTTGTCCTCTACGATATGATATACAATACATATATTAGTATTTTCAAAAGTTTCAGGCACTTTGATATAAATCTGGAAGAGTTTTATATATATAGAAAAATATATTACTCTGGGAAATGTTTGTAATGAGAACATGTAAAGTTATACTTGATAACCATAAATTACTTTTACAAGAGGGGAGATTTAGCCCAAAAGCCCAACTAAGCTCCCACCCTGATGAAAGTTATAAATAAACACGAGAATAGCCTAATGTTCTTGCTTATACCTCATGAACGGGAAGCAGGATTGGCAGCAGCCATCTTGGTTCTGTTTTTGTTCGCACATGAAAACATTTTTCGCAAACAGTTGGTCGCAGTTAGAGTACATGTTCATATCGCCCTCCCTGCAACCTTTTGAATTCGAAAGGTTAAAGGTTAAAGATCATCGTTTATTCATTTATATTTATTAAGTATTTATTTATTTATATAATTCTCGCATACAACGTGAGCATACAACGTGATATCGAAAATTTTAAACAGTTATCGATTGAAAATTACGGCGAATAGTTTTTAATTCACCTTGAGGGCCTTCTTTTTGAATTTCCTCGCACGTTCTGCAGCAATATTTGGCCATGTTGGGGTTGTTTGAGCATACCCCACGCTGGCGTTTCAGATCGGGGCATTTGAGTGGGGCGTTGTTGTAGTTGATTGATTCAGTCTGGTCTCCGTGCACACATTTGTCTGTCATTTGAGAGTGACTTTAACTATTTCCAACATAAGGATGGGCGAATTATTGAAAATAAAAGTAATAAAATTAGTTGTCTTAGTGAATCTTTGAAGGCTTAAACTTTTTCCGTGTTCTTTATATCTTAACCTTTTCATTCAAATTAATCTATTTTTATTCATATCATTGACTCGGTCATTACTAATATAATTTAAACAAAGTTGTTGCTCATAATTCTAAAATAACCATCTTCAAAATTTTCAAAAATTTCACAAACTGACCTCTTCCGGTGGGGGCATTGCTATCCGCGACGCACTTACCGCCCATGCACCAACGTTTGTTGCCGCAGGGCGTGCCATCGTAGGCCCTATACATCTTGCCCCCTTTGCACTGGCCTTCGTCCAGGTTTTTACAGAACATTTCTTCGCAAACTTTCTCGTCTGACTCTTCTCCCGCCTGTTTATTTTTTGTCAATGATGGAAATTTTTTTTACATTAAAAATGATTGCCGATGTGGTGAGGTTTGAGAGATTGAAGGACGATGAGGGCCCAAAATGATCAAAACGACAGTAACTAGAACAGTGACACTTGTTTTTTTATTTAAAAAGAAATCGCAAACTAAAATTTAAAAAAAAATCTGAAAGAATTTATAGAAAACTAACACTGCAGAAATATGAGCCCGGCCCGAATACAAACTGACACTGCTGGTCCACGCTGAACTTTTGACCTGGGAGGGTTTTCAGGTGCTCAGCAAATTCACCGTTATCCCTAGCGCTCACTTTCAAACAGTTTTTATCTTTCCTGAAAGGGATTGAGAGAGAAAAGTGAAAGAACGATAAAAAAGAAGAAAAAAAGAGAGAAAAAGCGAAAGAGAGAGAGAGAGAGAGAGAGAGAGAGAAAAAGATTTAAAAACAAAGAACATGAAATTATAATAAAACTAATTTTAACGTTTCTGAAACCTCCGAGAACTAATTAATCTACGTCAAACTATGAATAAAGATTTTTTTTACATCGCTGTGTCCAATCTCTGGACCGTATCGTCAAAGTAATTGATGGAGCACGGGGAAAATGTGTGGAGGTTGTTGACGCCACTGCCGGGATCGTTCTTCCAGGCCATCAGGAACTGATCCTCGTACCGGCAATTATTCCCATTATCTCCGTCGTGATTTGCCCCCATGCTGATATATATTTTTCAGGGAGAAATTATTATTATTATTATTATTGTACTTATTATTTTT